CACCCGAGCAACTTCTGAAGCTTTCATCTCGCTCACAGACAGTGAAAAAGAGAGTACCTCAAGAAGCACACCGAATAACAGCCCACTGTCCGGAACGGGTTCACCGATATATGCGATCCAGCCTGGCATGAACAGTCCTGCTCGTCCCTCTGAATCTGCTGATGCTCGAATCTTAAAAAAAACCAGGATTTTCTCAAAAAAAAAAAATCCTGTACTTCTTCCTCGACTTAAAAATCCACCATCACACATAAAAAATCTGATCAGCACAATACTGATAAATCAACAGACATATCAAACGATAAGCATATATCACTGGCCAAGAAAAACTATCCACAAAAGGCATATGTTTTGTTCGATTGGAAGTCAAATTTCAAATCAATGGGGAAATTTTTGCAAGAAAAATTATACCAACCTGCACGACGACACGATGGCCGATTTGAAGTTGGCATACAAAATTAAATAAATCTCTATCCTGATGGAAGCGAAATCGAAAATCCACATCACGTATAGCTTTCAGCAGCAAAGCTTCGAAGCTTGTCAGTAATGCTACCTAAAATGTATCAGTAGCGAAAAATATGGAAAAAAAGACAAATTCGTCCAAATGAACGATGGAACGATGCATGGATCGTTCAGTAAATCTCCCAAAAAAAACTGCAGTTCGAATTTTGTGTGAGCGACATTACCAAGGCAGTACAAGTCAGGAAAAAGTTTAGCTATTTATATAGCAAAAATGAAGAACAATGGATCAATAAAGCGGACTATTGGATGATACTCAAGAAAGGCTACAAGAACATCAATATGGCGCTAATACAATAGGCAAGTCCAATGATCTGGTAAATACGATGTAAGTAAAAAATCCCAAAAAGTACGATTTTTTGAAAACAGAACTGAATCTTGTTAAAAAAATTAAAAATTCAAAAACAATAAAATCATAAAAAATCACATAATTAGCTCGTATTTTCCCATCAGCACTTAGCCCTTTAATTTATCCCAAAATTTTTCTTTTCGTTTTTCTATTGAATGGCAAATGAAGGAAGGAAGGAACCTTTGCTTTCGGTACTCGCAAATATACATCGCCGAATTCGAGACACTTCATGAACAGAACGTTCCTGGTACTTAGGTTACTTTTACTGGATAATTCTTTTTCCCAGTACGCATCACGATATCGTCTTCCGTCCAAGTCGCTGCTGTTTTCTACCGCAAGGCATAAAATATGACCTCTTTCAACCTGTAATATTTCTGAGTTACTAAAAACCATATGTTCAAAAAAATCCAAAAAAAAAAGAAATCACGTTTTTCTGTACAAAAATTTTTGCAGATCGGGCTCTGCTGCGCTGCTCAAGCTGAATTAAATCCAGCTAATTATGTAATTTAAATGATCAGTGCAGAAGGAGACGAAAGGGAGGCCAGTAAATGCCCAGTACAATTCTTGACCTGAATTTAAAATGTCTTAATTTTAGCTAAATTATTAATTTTCATACATAAGTTTCAGTTTTAAATATTTCCCACATACTTCAATGTTAGCTAATATCTACTTTGTTTAGGGTAAGAGAGGAAATATGAGGAAAAAAAAATAAAAAATATGAGCAAAAAACGATGAAAGGGTTCTAAAGAATTATTTAAGTAGGTAAGAAATGTTTCGGTTCATTAAGTCGTATACATTTCTTACCTTTGCCACAATTAGACCTAGTCAGTATGACGATTGTGGTAAAAGAATTTTGAATGGTAATTTGGTAAGATAGGAAACTGAATAAGCTAGTTGATGTGCTTGTAAAAGTAACAAGAAAAGTAACAAGAAAAGTAGAAGGTAGAAGATAAAGTTAAAGGAAAAGTAGAAGACAAATGAAGAAAAAGTGGAAGACAAATAGAAGTTTAGGGGAAGATAAAGGGGTGTGGAAAAGTATAAGGAAGAGAGAATAAAGGGTGTTATAATTTTGCTTAAGCCTAGCAAGTATCTCTGTATCTAATATCTCAATAAATGCATATAAGCCTTGCAAGGATCACAAATGGCAGAAAAGCAACATTCTGCTAATTTCGAATAATTACAAAAACAGAAATTAGCAAAAACGAGGAATTCGGCTGCCAAAATTTGGCTCAAATGAATCAAATATCAATACAGCCCAGACAGTTATTTTTAGTAGTGTCACTGGGACGTACTGGAATTTTGGCCTTACCTACCACCATGTTGATATATAAAGCAACTGCTTTGTCGGGAAAACCGTTGAGTTGATAATCCGGAAAGGGAGG